AACAAATTCACACTTACGGTCGCCATTCGAGTGCGTTGACTAGAAAATGAAACCCACCAGGTGGAGGAATTAGAAGATAGTAGCAGATAACGTTCTTATCAGCTCTGACTTCGACGTCTTTGATTGTTAATTGCTGCCCCGGCAGCAGTTTTCCGTGCGAAAGTTGTCATAAGAATGAAAGGTAAGTGCTAACTCCTTGTTGGGCTCATTGAAACGGGAGTTGCAGGTTCGAATCCCATCGGGCGGACTGTTTTGCTCATAACTCTACATTCTTGTAGAGCCTTACGGCATTTGTATGTCAAATATCCTTAGGTACCAGGGGCAAGCAGGTGTGGAGCTTACAATGTTCATGATTTCCTATCCTACCGTATACGATTGGCTGAGTATGTCCGTGCATTTTATGTGTGTGTGTCTGTTGTTTTCACGAAATTCATAGCGCGCTTCGCTGCAGCAGTGGAGCGCTGATTTTGATATGATATAGGGGGTGGGACGGGAACATATTTGGTGGGGGTCAGAAAGTGATAACGACTGATAAGAGCTGATAAGAGGCGCTGAAACGCAAATTTCACGAAATTCATAGCGCGCGTCCCAGCAGCAGTGAGGCGTTGGTTCCAAGAAGTGATGTAAGGGTGGGACGGGAACATTGTATTTGGCGGGGGACAGAAGTGATAACAATTGATAGAGCTGATAGCAATGGTCAATTTCAGCACAAGATACCTTCCAGCTGTTACACACCCCAAAGTACCCAAGAATGTATGGTGGATGTTTAAATAAACACGATGGGTATCGGGTATTCCTATTTCAACATCTTAGCATCGAATATTATTCGACCGCTAAATTATCCTGACATCGATGCATGGTATTGTTTACAGACACCACCTTAGCTCCGCACCCCACTGCACGTATCATACGGTGAATTTCTCTCGCTTCATTCTATAAACCAGGGGTTTAGTGTGTCGGCTTGTTTGTGTCTATATATGTAAGCATATATTTATCTCTGCTGTCCGTACAGGGGGGGGGCCAAAAAAAAGACATTTTGCCTATGTCGGACTTCGGCTCTTTTTTCTTCGCAGAGATTGCTGTCGTTGACGGGAGTTCCTCAGCAGAGTATTCCCTAAGTGTTCCTCTATTAGTGTACGCAGGCTCTCCTTCACTGCCCTCACCGTCTTCAGAATATGACGTCATCTGTCACCGTCGTCAGGCTCAAGGAGGTCTACCGACGTTCGTGAATCGATTTAATGTTGGATAGTTTTCTAGAGGCATTAGCTACCACTGTGCAAATCCCCTCGGAACTAGCTTTCCAGTAAGGGTCGTTATGGTACACGATCCTTCGAAGACCCCATTGAGATCGACCAGTGCACCATGTTTCCAGGGCTAATTCTTCTGATGCCGTCCACGTACGTGGCCACTATGAAGATTTTCTTATAGAATGGAATGCACTCTTTAATAATAAGTTGGAACCGTTCGGTCTGAGTTGAGTAAAATGTGCTTAAATCCATCTGGAAGTGGAGGCAAAATGTCTTTTTTTTTGGCCCCCCCCTGTATATATGTAACTAGTATGTATCTCTGCTGTTCCGTCCGCGAAAAAGGATTGATCAGCAACTATAGCAGTGTAGACTAAACAGGCGCTACAAGTCGAGGGTAGCTCGCAGGACTTGTATACTACCAATATTTTTGCAATGATTGTTATTACACTCCATTCTGCTATATACACTCCTACTGGGCCCACACTCGGTAATTTCCACACGGTGCTGCTGCGGTGGCAGATGTCATTATGGTGTCATGTCTGATTGTTATGAGGACATTTACAAAATCAAACTCTTTTTGTGCATACGCGTCACCTTAAAGAAGTTTTGGCGCCACAACTTGAAGGGAACACAGGCGAGAAGCCAAAGCGCACAGCCTGTAGGACCGACAAATCTAACGCATATCACAAAATACGCTAGCGGATGGAACGCTATAGCGTCTACGCTGTCAGATTCACCTTGGTACCGCGCGGAGCTCAACTAATGTACAAATAATTGTGGTTCTTGGTGTGTATGCGCTTGTGTGTGTCAGTTTGACTGAAAACTTCTAGGCCCCCTAGCTTTTGTCGCAGCGCGTTCAAGATAATAAGGAACAAACTGAGAGGACTGCACATAAATGTTGGATAGTATTAAGTGATGACAATTGATGAAGCCTTATAATGCCAGTGTCAGCACTTTCTCTACGCCACTCATGTTAATCGTAGAGCGTTTGCAGTACTTTTGTAGGATGGAAAGGAATATTGAGTGGGGCTCGAATATCACCAGCTTTCTCTCGCATTTGGCGGTGAATTAGAGTGTCTGCATACATATGTTCTATATGAGGTGGTACGGTGAAAAAGGTAATCATGTTAGTGACCTGATTGCAACTGATGAATTCTGATAGGGACAAGAAGATGAGAAGGTGAAGAATGGGTTCGATTGGCTATCGAATTCGAGAGTGGGAGACGAAGTGTTGTTGCGCGCTAGATTATAGTGCAGTAGTAAGTAAAGTGTATTGTCAACAGAAACCTCCCAGCATTTACGACAGCGGCTCCGTAACCAAAAAGGAGGCGCTGTTTTTGGAGGTGTGATGCTGTAGCGCGTGCCTCCACACGAAATGACGACGAACTCGATAATGTCGTGCTCGGTGTGTTGTTCGGGGTTTTCGAGGGACTTCACGGACTATGTCGGTGCTGTGTATCGTTATGTTTCGGGGTGTTTCGAGGGTGTACGGACTACTTGATTATTCCTCAATCGTCCTGCCGCGATGGCAAATTGAAGGGCTCAGTTCAAGTAGTCTGTCGACCGTTCTAGAGTCACGTATTGAAACTCTCAAACTATTGATTCAGCTGTTGAACTCCTTTGTTCTCTTTGCTTACAAACTTCCCTTGCAAGTTTCAACCACTTACAAGGGGGGTCTTCTAGAGCAAGCCGCGGTTTTGGAGAACAATTTCTTGCATACTGAGGGACACATGTGCGGACCACGAAATTATGTTTCGCTTTGGCTGAAGGTTTAAGTAATATCAAAAGTGGTGAATGACACCCTTGATGGTTCGATGCCACGCGACGACTAAATTTTGCAATCGATGTTGACGGCCCCTTCTTGGTGGTCTGACCATTAACATGACATCTGATTTTGAAATTTAGCGCAATTTGCCATCACCCCATAGGCGCCGATCCAAATGCAAAATTTAGTCCCAACGGGAGATCGAACTATCAACAGTACCTTATGTTTGATTTTTGTTACTGCTAAAACCAGCGTTTGTTCAGCGAAAATAAATCAAACATGATTCTGTAATCCCCACAGTGGGTCCTACAAGACCGAATTGATTCGAAGAACGTTTTGACCATTGCAGTACGCTGCGCAGATGGTGAAGCACGGGTTTATAGGGCATTTTCGAATTATTTCGTGTCTATTATTTTAAGAGTAAAAAGCTGAATTCGGGACAAATACAGTCGATGTTGAACCTTACGAATGATGAAGGACTTCTGATTTACTGGTAAACACGTGTTAAGAAATTCCATGTCAACTTTCAATTTTGCTCGTCAATTGTAGTAAAAATGAAAGAGCAGCTGTGCGATAGCTCCGAGCGCATAAAGCAATCACAGCGACTTCATCTTGATCACTTTTATCTCTTTTTTTCCTGGGTTATCCTTCAGGACACATTTTCAATACTGTCGCACTTTTGGTTACCCTATTCTTTATACCATGCGATGATAATCGGATCCACTAAACAAAAATAAACGCGAAATATTGTAAATGTATAGGATACCTGTCGAGTGCTTGTATAATAGATGTTTATGATATAAAAGAAAGTTTCATTTCGATCGCGCAGCATGCGGCAAGAGTCTAAATAGGTGCCGGCCAGCCAAAACGCCGCGGTACGCAATAGGGTAAAAAAGGTGGCTTGCCTCGAAAGACCTTATTTGTTAGTCTTCAGATCAAAGTTGAAAATTGACATAATTCCAAATTTTGATGAATGACGTCTCAAAACGGGTCTTTACTCAGACACCTATGTACGGAAGAGCTTTCCTTATCATTGTATTGTACTCAAACGAGACTAGTTTCAACAACCTTCCCAACGCGTAAATAGCCCTTATAGATTGGCTCTATTTCAGATGGTTTTTTTGGAAAATGTGAGGATCGTGAAGGCAGTAGTCTATCAGGGAGGACGTTTTACAACACCTTTTTCTTCCGTACATGATTACTCGAAGGAGATAGTGAAGAAGTAAAAGGGAAAAAAGGGGGGGACAAAAAAACAGAGGATCTCTTCGAAGACTAGGAAGCATTATATTTGTGGAGAATGTGAGTCAATCTTCTCATCGAAAACAGGGCTGAAAACCCACAAATCGCTCAAGCATCGGAATTACGCCGCAGAGCCTGTTCAGAGGCAAATCAATTGCCCAATATGCATGGAAAAGGTTAAGGTTGAGGCTTACAACGTCCGCCTTTCTTCCAATCTCGTCATATCTATTCAAAAGAAATACAACATTCAGACTCATGAGCAGTTGGTAGAGCACACGCAAAATGCGCATGCTCATGAGAGCGATGAGTATCGTGTAAGCACTTTATATTTCACTGACAAGAACGTATGAAGTGGGTTTTTCGCGAGCTTATTCCGCAATTTTGTTGGTTTGTAGGGCAGTGGAACCTTGTGATAAGTGTTCAACTTTAGCTTGGCGGGAGAAATGAGAGAAAGAACCGTCTACACTGGAAAAACGTCTGTTACGGGGGGCAGGAGACGAAGAATTCTTATTTCGGAATGCAGTCGAGCTGTACCTACCCTGCTTTGCTGCTCCACAGTCGGCTAAATCGAGAAGAGTGACTGTTGCATACTGCACGGGCTTTTCTTAGGGCGTGTGTTTTGTCGTTCTGTCAATCCATTGGTACAAACACTTACTGCAATTTAGGTGTCTGAGAGTGATCGGGGTATTGCTGTCACGTTTTGTAACAAACACAGCGGCCACGCGAAAGAACCCGCTCTTTTAACATTGATGAGGAGTCGGAGAAGTACATTTGTTACTTTACTCAGGGAAGGTTTTACGTCTGATCAAATTCTGAAAAAGATAAGAATGGAGTACCGCAACAAGAAGATAACAGCCCAGGCTCTACTTCACGACTTTGAAAGACATAAGGTAAAAATATACTCGAAAGTAAAAGCACATTTCGAATCTGTCAGCTTCAGAAGAATTGCTACACGCAACAAGATGGAACCTGGGAGAAAGCATGCCTTTGATCTGCAATTTGTTGAAATGAGGATCAACGAGAACTCTGAAGAGGATGGCATTCAACGTTACGTGCATGCCACAAACGAAACAGGAGATGGATTTCTGCTCAGTTAGTGCTCAGAAGGTTTAAGCGCTCGTCTCTAACCACTTTATCCAACTTGTTTAGTCGTCATAACTCCGGTGCAGAAGTCATGGTTAACACGATATAGTCGACGTGGTATATCCATCGACGACACATTTAACTTAACGAGGTACTCCCTGCCGACTGGCCACAGTCATTGTAGCGGATGAGTGGGACATGGGCCTTCCTGGTGCTTATCTGCTGTCCCACAGGTGATTTTAATTATTCTGGAGCATTTTGTTTGTGAAGGCGATTGTGCTATTTCAGGATGACAGAACAAGAAGTATTCGAGTTGTTTTCGGTTATAAAGAAGATTGTGCCTGATTTCGATCCCATGCTCCTTATGACTGATGACACTAATAGTTTTCACAACGGATTCATACGTGCTTTCCCGCAGTCTGCTGCAGTTAAGCTCCTCTGCAATTTCCACGTATTACAAGCTATTAAACGATGCAAGGCGAAGCTTGTGGAGGTCAGTAGTAATAAGTATGTGATATAATAGTACCTTCACAGCACTACAAATGAAACATATAACGTCTAATTGTTCGAACGGATGTTTTCTTCCCTCCAGAAAATAGAAGTTGCAGAAGAAGCACACTGACATGGTGGTCTGAAAAATGCGCTGGCATTGTCGTTTAGCGGATCATAGCGAGTTTACAACGAAATACTCGTCTTTTCTGAACACCTACAGGAGACTGGAGCGCATCTATTCTGTTCCATACATGGAGGGCACGTGGTATGTTTATATGATGATTTCTAATATACACCATGTAGATCCTTGCGTTACAGGAGTAATCGAGTCCGACAGTGGGGCGGATTTGCTAGGCAGAACGCTTGTATGAATGCTTCGATGCTCGACGAAAGGTATCATAAGAGGCTGAAGCATGAGTTGCCCGAGTCCAAACCGAAGATGCGCCTTGACCGTCTTTTGGAAGATCCTTATCTCCCTCGCTGCGGATATGGAAGAAGACCGTAATATCAAGGTGTTTTTAGTGTTGCCTGGTACTACCTTAATTATTAACGTGATAGTGAGTTTGCCTTCATGTAGATGCAAAGAGGACTGTTGGGAATGTCGATATCGCCTCTTGCAACAACATCATCAACATGGCGAGGCAGTGAAAATGGTTCCAGAATAGACAAGAGAATGTGATAATAGTGGGGAGCGGCTAATGGAGGGTCGTGGAAGGAGGGATATATCACAGAGTGCAACAACTTCTTTGTTCCTGTGATCCTAAGGTACGACGCATAATAATTTTGCAAAAGGCGTAGCCTTT